GTAGTTATTTTAAACCAAAAAGAGCTTCAGATGACAGTATATTTTAATGAGGAGAGGGTGTTTTGGTCCATCCTCTGTAATCATCCTCTTAATTCCATACAGACACCGTCTCTCTATAATCCAGCTGCTATTCCTGGAAAGATTTGCTCATTTATTTCAGAATGTTGAATGATTTGAATCCTCAAACAGAATTCTATAAAGATAAAGTAATACCTGTAAATTATATATGTCTTTTTTCCTTCCAGCCCAGGCTTATATGATTTAAAACATGCCTTATAGGACCACGAGCATCTGAAATATATTAGAAATTTACTGAATAGAGCAAGTTTATGGAATCATTTGGAACACGTGGAATGATCTGAGAGTACCACATTCCACAATTGCTCATTTAGGAAGAGATGTGGGGTCATGTTGTAAAAACATCTAGTTCATTTACCCTTGCTGTTCTAACCAAAAAAAAAAGTGGCATCCTTTCAGATGGATCTTGATCTATCCTGGTTTACTTTGGCAGCTGTTGTGTTTAGCGATGTGCTCTTTTACAAGAAACACTGAGCCTTGCTCCCCAACCAAAATGCCTTGGATCCCTGGGGTTAAAGTTCATGTGCTTCTGTAACTTTGAACTCCATAGTTTCCTTGCTGACAGCTGCAGGAGGAGAACTATGTTTACATCGTAGAATTATATGGCCACCAGCAATTCAGAATTTCCATTTCCTCTTGCATTGTTCTGGAATTTGGCGTCCACTATTCCATGTCCTAAAACTTAGCCTAGTGTGCATATTTTCTAGTACTCTCTTCCAGTGTGCTGTTTTGGTTTTTGGTTTTTATGTGTTGACCCTAAATGCTTACGATGCAAAGATTTGTTTTGTTGAAATCTACCTGTTTATGAGATTTTAATAGTAGATAATTTTCCTACCCGTTTCATTTTGTGTTCTTCCAGACAAAAACATCTGATTTTTTTTTTAAGGTCTCTTGCTATGTTAATGTTGACTATTAGATTCAGACCCCATATGGAACTGTGTTGAGCTATAGCCTGATGGCAGCTTTCTTCTGCCTGTATATTCTGAGTTTTAGTTTATAATTTAGTAGCCTGTAAAAGTATTTTCTAAAAGCATGTTCCATGTTAATAATTGCACCAAGAGCATGGGGATGTATATCATAAATGCTGAATTGTCAGAATGTCTTGAGTGTTTTTTTTTTTAATTCCCCAGATAATGTAAGTGGGATTATATGCATTCACATATGTTATCTACTTTAGTGAAAAGAAAAATAAAGGCATTTCCTTTAATTTGTCTTTCCTCCCTCATCTTATATATCAGTCTCGTTATCTCTCTCTCTCTCTCTCTCTCTCACACACACACACACACACACACAGACACACGGGTGAGGGGAGGGAGAGAGAGAGAGAGCTTCCTTAAAGGATTCTAATAACTGAGATAACCCAATGGCAGGAGTCAAATGTAGTTTTCATTCTTGTTGTTACTCCACAAGAGAGCTCTTGTGGGCCTCAAGAGCCTTCTTTTGGAACTATGATTTTTATTTACACAAAGGATACTCCTTCTATTTCACACTCTACTCCTGGAAAGCAAAGAGGATGGTGTGAGAGCCAAGCTGACCTAATAGGCTTGCTTTGGTTTCTTCTCCTTATATGTAGAATTACGCATAGTATGAATGCCTGGAGAGCTTTATACAAACACAGAGCCTTGAAATAGAACATTTATTTAGTTATATCTACATAACTAGCCTCCAGAGTTACATGATTATTAAACAAAGACTAGTTGGAATCATTTTTGTCCTACTGGCCTCTATCTGGTTATATTTTCATTGGCACTCTGATTTGCCAGCAGGAAATAATACAAAAGTGATTGTGTTGAATAGTTGAGCACAAACAAGGGTCAAAGTACATGGCTTTGGCACATGGTTTTATCTTTACATTTACTCTCTGTTTTATTTCCTTTGCAGTTGGTTACCTTCATCCTAGTGGCCTTTACACTGCATCCTGTTTCCTTCCTCTCCCACTAGTCAGAGTGTCTGTAGTCCTGATTTTGTGTTTGTCAGACTTATGATGTTTTCAGTCCCCAGATTCATTGCATGAACTTTTCTGATGCTTTGTACCTCAGTTTTTCCCAATTCAAGCGAAAGTAAATGAGGAAACAAAAAAGTGGGTAATAATATAAAAAGATATAAATGTGGATTGGCTGTCTGGATTTTTTTTTACCCCAAATCTTATATTCATTTGTTTTCTGGAAATAACTGTATTTTAAAATGTGCAGTAATAATGTTTTCTTTAAATTATATATGGGAAATAAGTAAATATCAGTTCACTGATGAACCATAAGCAAATTTTCCTTAATCATATAATGGCAGTTACTTACTTACATAGAATGCTAGTCCTATGGTTTGATATCTGATCCATATTACTTAATTAGGTTTCAGCTGTTAACAGCTATTTTAATCATGCTATTTTTAATCATACTTTTTTAAACGTATCATTATTGGGGCAGTAGATGTATTAATACAGTTATAGAGGTGCAAATGTAATATGTGATTTATCTTTTAATATATGCAGCATTAGTTTGTTTCATAATTGCTCTTTTAAAATTGATAAAATTTCAATTAACTAAATAAATATATCCTCATACTTACATTTGGAGTATGACAGTAAGTGACATTAATGGCATAGCATACTTATATCATATCTTTTATTCAGAAGCAATTCTGAAGAAGCAGCTGCACTGGCTCCCGGTGGTCTTCCGGGTGCGATTAAAGCGCTCCATAGCTTAGGACCTGGGTATATATGAGATCGCCTTCTGCCACCAATAGCCTCCCACCGGCCAATATGCTCCCACAGAGAGGGACTCCTCAGGGTACCGTCGGCCAAACAATGTCGACTGGCGACACCCAGGGGGAGAGCCTTCTCTGTGGGGGCACCAGCCCTCTGGAATGAGCTGCCCCTAGAGGTGCGTATGATCCCTGACCTGCGTACCTTCCACCGCGCCCTTAAGACTCTTTCGTTCCAACAGGCCGGGCTGGCTTAATATGAATTTTAAATCAGGTGTTTGTTAGCTTTTAACCTTGTGGTCCAAATTTTATATATTCGTTTTAAATTGTTTTTAAATTTTGTGAGTTTATATGTGTTTTAATATGGCTGTACACTGCCCTGAGTCCCTTGGGAGAAGGGCGGTATAGAAATTTAATAAATTCAATTCAATTCAATTCAATTAGCCTGTTTTTAAAAGAATATAATCTTGATGGAGGAATAAGGAAGGAAAAAACAGAAACCCAGTCCTGGGAAAGTATGAGAAAAAAACTCAAAATAACACTGCTTTGAATCTGTTTGGTATAAAATGGAGTGGAAAGAAAATCTGACAGGCTTTCAAGATTCTGTTGTGATATCCTACAATAATAAACAACTTTCCCGTAATCTGTTTCCTGAACTGATCTGCCTTAAAAGGCTGACATTGTTTTTACGACAGTTTCTTCCTACTGCTTTCTATATATTATGCAGTGTATAATCCTGATGAGGATTAGAATTCTTTGCGTATGGGTATGGGTTGATCGGTAGGTGAGTCAAAATCGGCAGGATGGCAGACAGAGCAGTCACAGCCTATTCTGAAGATGCAATGTTGACACATGTACAAAAGAGGTGGGGTTTGCACTGTGAGGCCTCATCTGCCATTTTGCCAATTTTGAAGCTCCCCAAAAGTCCCACACACAGCAAGAATTCCATGATGTGGCTTTAGGTAAGATTCTCTCTTGGCCACAAGCCCTCAGCCATCAATATAAGACCTTTTCAGAGCTAATGTCGTGAAGTCTTCAGCAAAGACTAATGGGTTAGATCCATCCTTTGAACAGATGCATTAAAATTAGCTTTATTTATTTATTTATTTATTTATTTATTTATTTATTTATTTATTTGTTCAATTTATATGCCGCCCTTTCTCCGGAGACTCAGGGCGGCTTACAATGCGTTAAGCAATAGCCTTCATACTTTTGTATCTACCTGCTTAGTAGGGCTTTCGGGCCCCCCTAAGCGGTGTTCTTTTTTATACAAAGTCAGCTTATTGCCCCCACAATCCGGGTCCTCATTTTACCTACCTCGAAAGGATGGAAGGCTGAATCAACCTTGAGCCTGGTGAGATTTGAACTTGCAGTAATTGCAGGCAGCTGGTGTTACTTAACAGCGCTTTAGTCTGCTGCGCCACCAAGGCTCTTGGTGTATTAATAAGTATTGTATTAATAAGTCCCTGTGGTTTCAATAATTCTGTTTAAAACTTAACTAGATTCCAGCTGATATGTGAGACATACTTTTAAGGCAGTTTATCATGTGATCTTCGTGATCATGTGAAGATTTTCCAAACTGTGTGAAGATTTGGTAAAGCCTCTGACATGTGAAAGTGGACTGAAGTGGCAACCTTTGTGCAAAAGAGATTTCTCAGTATGTAAAAAGAGCTTTCTAGTCTGGCCTTAATGATGAATGTACTTCTTCAGGTTGTAGCTGAAGAAGTACACAGAGTGATTTTTTAAAAATCACTCTATGCAGGCTTGTTGTTTGGGAGGAGGGGAAGAGAGGATAAAATCCATATATATTTTTCTGAAGGAAAAGTGGGGTATAAATCTAAGTAAACAACAAATAACTATTTGCCCTAACTAATTATTTGGATGTATAATACCAAAACTACTCTAGTAACATGTTCATTTCAACAATTGAATGATGTTTTTCCCTTAGGAATGGGTACATGATATATGGGCATTGTGTAAATGTGTACAATACAAATGTTTTTTTAAGGCATTGATTGAAATTTCTAGCTTGGGCGACTTTCCCACTCTTCTTTAAAAATAAAAGCACTGCCTATTCCTGTGAAAACATGGTCATTCGTGATGAGGTGTCTGCATAGATGAAGCTACTTGTGTATATACTAAACTGTTATAGCCCTCAAAGAGCAGCATTTCCTGGGTTCACTGATCTACTCTAATTTAAATTAACCCTTTATTCCTAATAGTAACTGAAGCCGGTTTCGGTGCTGATATCGGAATGGAGAAATTCTTCAACATCAAATGTAGAGCTTCTGGCTTGATTCCCAGTGTGGTTGTGCTTGTGGCTACAGTGAGGGCTTTGAAGATGCATGGAGGGGGGCCAAATGTAAGTGTCTTTACCTCTCAAAGAAAACAGAGAATAAATCTTCAGAACTCCCTACTTTTTAAACCCCTTATCGTTTGAAATAAGTATAAACATTTCAGTTTTGGAACTGGTTGAAATGACTCCTGGTGCACTGCAAGCCAATTAACAGTCTCTCTCTCTGAATTGTCAAGAGACAATAGTTTTAGAGCTATTTAAAGGAAGGCTGTCTACACGACTTAAGAAGTTTAGGAAATGGAACGAAATCTGCTTGCTATTTTTTTACTTTTTTTTTTTTTTTACCTACCCTTGAAGTTCATCCTTCACATTGCAATAACTGGCTCATGATCCCACAATTTGAACTATCACCCACTGCTAGTTCCTAAGTCTGTTTCCTACATCCCCTTAATTATTTCCTTATTTAAGCCAACTATGGGTACATTCCAATCAAAGTTAAGAACTTTGATCTGTTAAATTCATTGGGAGGGAATTATTAACTGTATGGAATTTAAAAGTACTCAACTTGACTATATTGCACCCTGTTTCTTTATCTTTTTTTAAAAAGTTCTGTTTGTAGCAATACTTTGCGGCACATATATTAGAGCCTATATTTTCTGTCTTCTTTGCCAAAATTCTTGTGTTACTTTCTGTTCTCTCAGCCTGTCATCCAGGCATGCAGTCTGGTTTTTATCTTTTGATTCCTCACTTTTTTCTTTCATTTAATTTTAATTTCTTGTTTGAGTGTGATCCTTCCCTGCCTCCCCTGTTTTCCAAGGTTTTTCAAATTTTTATGCCACTGGATGCTGATGTTTAACTACAAGTACTAATTGTTCCAAGATTATATGCTAACTACTTTGGTTATAATCCATCATTGTCTTTACATCTACACCTTGTCTCTATTTTTGCTTCTCCTTTTTTTATTTTTTTATTCACCCTTTTATTCTTCATTCCTAAAGTTACTATATTATCTGAGCTGCAAAAAGTTGGAAGATATCAAAGAATTACAGAAAACTCTAACTCTGCTACTGCAATCTGCAATCTTTTACTTTAATACTTTAACTTCGTGCTAAAAGTACCACAAGTCTTGGTTTTTGCATGCTTATTTTTAAAATCTTTATTAAAATTAGTTTTTCTTGATTCTTCTCTCTCCTCCCTGTTGAAAATACCAGTATTTTGCAAATGTGCCCCGTTGCTTCCACTTTGGGAAGTATAAAATTCATTCAATTTGGTGGCATGCAGCTGTAATATATTACGTTATTCTGGGATGCAGCCTTAATATTTGTTCTCTCTTCACTTTTTTAGGGTACAGAGGTTTGCAGACTCAGTTAAAAAATATTAATAATTCTATGCCTGACAACCCTGTTGTTTGTATGGGGAATGTATTTCTTTGATACCTCAAGGAGACTGCACAATTGATTTTTTTTTAAAAGTGTAGTTTCACCATTTTCCCACTATATAAGACATTCAGTTGAAGCAAGAAAAATAACTAACCAACAAATAGTCATAACCTAATTTTTTCCCCTGAACATTTTCAGTTCACCTTCCAAGGATTAGTTTTCTTTTTTTTACTTTCCTTTCCTTTTTCCTTTTCCTTTTTTTGTATTTCCACTAAATTATTACCAGGTGTAGTTTACTAGATTTATACTTCTTAGTAATTATTTTTGAGTAATAGGATTATTTAGGATTTGGCAAGAACATGATTTCTTAGTAGGGAACTGGAATTTATTAACTGGATTGATATATTGTAGTAATCCGTTAGGTTGATTTTAAAGGGCTTATGTGATGGGCAAACAGAGTTAGGACTAAGTCATATTTAGGATTAGGCTGTAAACCACAGTTTGAAGCTATGATTTATTGTTGTCTTTTCCGTTACAAACTCTGGCTTTGTGAATGAGCAAATGAAGGAATGTAGTTTGTCTCATTTGTTTTTGTGCCCACTGAAACTTCAAACCAGTTCACAGAATATAATCCAAGCGCTGAGGTTCCTTAACGTTGCCTTCATATGGTTTCTCTAGCTCCGCTATATTTTTCTTAAGTTGATTTAATCACATAGGAAATCTGAAGGAAGGATGACTGACATGAATTGGAGTACAGATAGGAAGCATGGGAGTACTTCTCAAGGCAAAAAGAAGGAGCTGAGACGTCCTCCTTCAATTGTTTCTCTTTTTCAAGTTCCCATGCAAACATTGGATTAGAAATATTTACTTTCTAGCACAAAAAAATATGGTCAATTATTAAGCATTCTAACTTCAAAACATTTTGATTAAAAATTAATGCATTGGAATAGCTTTATTTTCAGGTTTAAAAACTGGATTCAGAACTTGAGTCTAGTATTATCTAGTTGCAAAATGCTAGAGATTTGTTTAGTCAGATATACAATAGTATCAATTTAAATGGAATCAACACTATTCCAAAATCCCCATATTAAAATCCTGGTAATTAAAAATATATGTACAAAGTAACATTAATGCTTTTCATATAAATATTCAAAAAAAAGTTTTGCAGGGTTTCTCCATTCTAGAAATCATGAAGATCACATATTTTAGGTTTTCCTAAATATTTGTCTATTCTTTAATTGTTTGTTTGTAATTTCAGGTTATAGCTGGTGCACCTCTTAAGAAAGAATATACGGAAGAGGTGAGAACATTTCCTGTCCCTATTAAAATCGATTTTTAGAAATATGCTGTGATTAAATGGCTGTTACTAAATGGCTTAATCCAATGTATTGAAAAATCTTTTTCTCCCAATGCCATCAAACTCATACAATAAGGTTACCTATGGAGGCCCTCCTCACAGTTCCAGAAAGTACAGTTCACAATGCTAAGAATGGGAATATTTGTTGATTTGTTAAATTATTTTATTCAGTTACATACTGCAAGTTTCCAACCATAGGCTGACCCAAAGCAGTTAACAAGAAAAAAAAAAATCAAACCTAATAAAACTTACTTAAAGTATCAAAACCATAAGCAAACAGCAAAAAATCAAAATAATAAGTAGAAAAGTTGTAAAATAAAATTAAATATGCAATTATGCATAAAATGCATACATGCATAAAACACATAGCAGCAATAAAAATAGGTAGCAAGTAGGGCTGCCATGAGATGAAAGGTAACAGATAAAAATATATTTGGAGGGGTTTTTTTTCTTTAAAAAGAGGTTGATTAAATAGACAGAACCATGAAGGTTGATGTTAGTCTTTCGAGATAGTCCAGAAACTCGGGAACACTAGTGGTATTTTTATTGTAAGGCTGCATCAACAGAATATTAATATGCCTTTTGCAACTTTTGTATGTATTATTTTTAAGGGTTGATGATATTAGTATGATAATTCATTTAAAACTGTTCTTATTGTTTTCTTGTAAATTGTTCTGGGTTTCAGTAGGAGGAGGAAGATGGAAATTAAATTTGGTATTTAAACAAAGTTCTCTGGAATATTTTTAATGACAAAAAGTAACAAAGTCCAAGGTTCTGAATATTGTTGTGGATTGCTTAAGTAATTAGCGGTGAAAGGATCATACTTCTTGTCTTTCAGAAACACACACTCGTATTCGCATAATCTATCGCTAGTATTTCTCTTCTTTGTTTTCACACACTATTTTTTTTCCTTTCCATTTAGATTCTGACGTTGATTATTTTTTTTAACTTCCCTGGGTCCTTGACCTAACTAATTTTTAAAAAAATGTATTATGAGCAATGTGCACATGCACTTTTTAAGTGGGGCTCCCAAAAACGTTGAACGTAGTGATGGCCTCAAAATGCTCTGAAAACCTCATACAGCAAGTCCAGGGGTGAAATCCAGCAGGTTCTGACAGGTTCTGGAGAACCGATAGTGGCAATTTTGAGCAGTTTGGAGAATCAGTAAATACCACCTCTGGCTAGCCCCAGAGTGGAGTGGGAATGAAGATTTTGCAGTATCCTTCCCCTGCCATGCCCACCAAGCTGCGCCCACCAAGCCATGCCCACAGAACCGATAGTAAAAAAATTTGGATTTCACCACTGAGCAAGTCCATGTGACCACTGCAGAGGTGGGTTTCAGCAGTTCTGACCAGTTCTAGAGAACCGGTAGCAGAAATTTTGAGTAGTTCGGAGAACCGGTAGTCAAAATTCTGACTGGCCCTGCCCCCATCTATTCTCTGCTTCCCAAGTCCCAGCTGATCAGGAGGAAATGGGGATTTTGCAGGACCCTTCCCTTGGATTGGGGAGGGAATGGAGATTTTACAGTATCCTCACCCTGGAGTGGGGTGGGAATGGAGGTTTTATAGTATCCTTCTCCACCAAGCCATGTCATGCCCACCAAGCCACACCCACAGAACCGGTAGTAAAAAAATTTGAAACCCACCACTGGAGCAGTGATATGAATTAACTCAAACATCTTGATCAGCCAGTAAGCACTAAAAATACTGTTATGTAGATATGATCAGTAAATATAACTTCATTTATGTATCAGCCATAGTGGACTTGTAAGGTTTTCAGTAAAAGAGGTTTCACATTCTAGTCCATATTTCAAGCGATGGAAATTAACTCAGTGACTTCAGGCCAATCATTGCCTCTCAGTCCAATCTACTTCAAAAGGTTGCTGCTACAGGAAGAAAATGAATGGAGATCCCTATGTAAGCCACTTGACATTTCTAGAGGGTAGAAAGATATAAATCTAACAAATAATTATTACCCTCAACGTAACAGGAAAGAAAATAGTTAATATATAAGATTCAATTCAATTTCCCATACCTTTTTTTCTCTTAGCACATTTTCATTTCTTTATAGGGAGTTTGACAGGCATTTCTGTAGAAGCCATAAAACTGGTTTAAGGTACTTGAACATAAGAACTAATGTAGGTGGACAGAATTCATTGCGCTGATCCATATTGTATATTAAAAGCACAGCAATAAAACATTTTTCTATGTTTTCTATGTTTTCTGTTAGGAATAAATAAACACAACAAATGTATATTTGTTGTTGGTTTTCTTTCATTTCCCATACAGAATCTCAAGCTGGTGTCGGATGGTTGCAGCAACTTGTTGAAGCAAATTCAAATTACCCAGCAGTTTGGGGTTCCTGTTGTTATGGCTCTTAATGTTTTCAGGTAAAATAATTTGTCTTTTCCACACCTAAGGAAAAAAAATGAGATTATTTTTTATGTGAACTAGATGTAAATATTCCATCTCTTATTTTTTTTCTTCTGAAATCAAATTTTTATTAATTAACTATTGTGAGAAGTTGTATGTGGATTGGAGGTAGGCTGCCGGTGTTACCACATTAAAATATAATTTCAGCATTGAAGAATTGAAGGGATGTTGATATAAAAGCCAGCAGATGGGCCTAAGCAACAAATATGGCAATAGAAGTGATGAAGAAGAGGCAGCCCAAAGGATGTAGAAATAGAGAGATTGAGAAGAACTAAGGCAAATTAGCAGCTTCCTGACTATTTGGGAGATATTCAGCCCTCACCATATCACAGACATTCTATGTTGGTTCAAGGTTTTACCCATGAGAAAATTTTTTGCAAGTATATGTAAAATTAAAAGTTCTAGCCATCTTTTGACCATTACAAAGTAGACACTGAAGAATAGAATTTTTGAAATAAACCTGTTTTCAACTTCCTCTGCTTTCTTGAGACCAATGACATCCTCAGCATAATCCAGTTATACCAAAACTCAAGTTCAGTGACATCATTGAGCAAGTACCATCAGTACATTCTTGCATCCCAATGCCTGATGCAAGTAGATAGAGCATGGTATGGTGATGTCATCATGCACATGTTGTGACTTTTAGTCTCTTGCTCTTGCCCTTTCTTTTCCCATCTCCCTTGCAGACATCCATCCTGAAATTCTTATATTACTTTCAACTGAAATATGAGAAGTGTATTAAAAATGTCATATGTTGATCATCAGTCCTTTCTTTTTTACATTCTTTATTTTCTTAAATTTGTAATTTGTTTAATGATACCCTATAGCTGTGATGGCAAACCTATGGCACGGGTGCCACAGGTGGCACACGGAGCCATATCAGTGGGCACGCAAGCGCTGCCATAGCTCAGCTCCAGTGCAATGCGTGCTCCGGCCAGCTGATTTTTGGGCCTTTCAGTCCTACTGGAAGTTGGGAAATGGGATGTTTCCGGTCTCCGGAGGGCCTCCGGGGGGTGGGGAAGGCTGGTTTTGCCCTCCCCAGGCTCCTAGAAAGCCTCTGGAGGGTGAAAAATGGGCCTCCTGGGCCCACCGGGCCATCACATGCTAAAAGCAGGGGGGCAAATGGGGGTCGTGTGCGTGGGAGTGGGGTACATTGCATTATGGGTGTGGGCACGCACATGGGCAACCCCCCCCTGCTCCCCCTGCTTTTGGCACGTGATGGCAAAAAAGTTAGCCATCACTGCCCTATAGTTTATATTAAAAGCCATTTCTGAAAAAGAGACAACCTATCTATCTGTATTTATTTGGAATTTCCCCATGTTTTAAAAAACCCGAAAGCAGCCTTGAAGAGAATGAAGCGATTGGGGCTGCATTCTTCTTCGCATTCTTTTCCTGAAGCTATTCTTTGTTATTAGTGAATGTTTATTAACTATTCAATTTGTAGAAAGAGTCGGAACATTTATTTCAAGATATGCATGCAGAATTTTGTTTTGTTTTTGCAAGTCTGTGAAAATACTGCCTCCAACCTTGTAGACTATGCAATTATCTTGTTCTGAGTTTTCTGCAAAAAAAATAGACATGCTGAGCTTCTGCTTGGATTGACTATACACATTTTGGGATTCAGACTTGAGTAGATGGTAGCTCTTTCATCCAGCCACCTGTTGAATGCATCCAATCAAATACCAGTTTTACAGGTTCTTTTTGATTATACAGGTGTTGATAATCTTCTAAAGTACAGAATAGTTGTCCAAATGCTTAAGATGCCAAATCTTGCATTGAGACATAGTTCTTATTATTAAGATAATAATATCATAATTATTATTAATAATATCATAATAATAATCAGGATAATAATATACTAATATTAATAACACCAAAATGTATACAGAATTTTCCTTTTTAAAAGCTGATGAAAATCATGCTGAATTTATTCAACAACAATAATGGCAATAAAAGTGGAAATTCCAGTAATTCTATTTAAAGCTATATGATACTTGAGGCAAGAAGTCCCACCCTGTAAGTAACAATTCAGATCTTAATTTGTGCCAGACATGAGTTATATCCAGTCCTGGGGATAGGTCTATGGGGAAAAAAACTGAAATTGACCTGAAATTAGTATGTCTGTCTCATAAAGAAGTAACTACAGCCATCAGTCATATAGAGGACATGAGAACAGAGAACATCTGTATTTTTTCCTAATAAATTTGAATAGCGTTATAACTTCCAATTTTAAAGCACTGAATGTATGTCACAACTTAATTAGGGAGATTGATTGATTGATGTCAGTCCAACAAGTTACACCAGATTAAAAAACCAATACCATATAGTTCATACTTACTTTTATTCTGACTGTGCTTCCCCCTTCCTCATTCTGCCTATGATTGATGAATACTATCAAAAATGAAATAATCCAATAAATATTTTGTGGGCAGAATGTACTTTCCTGCTTAAATTAATTTATTCTGTGAGATGGCCCATATTTTTTCACATAATTTTTTTTGACCCAGGCTCAAGCTCCTCTTACCTGATCATTGCCTTGAAAGCAGCTCTTTCACCAGTCCTTCAAGACCATTCTTTATTCTCTCTACAGTTATGTACCATTAAGTCAGTGTTGACTCTTAGTGACCATAAAGATAGATTTTTTTCTCCAGTATGATCTTGTCCCTAATCTTCAGATCTTCCAATGGTGCACCATCTTCACTGTAACTGAGTCCACTCATCTTGCTGCTGGTCATCCTGATTTGGTTTTTCCTTCCACATCTCCCATTATTAAAGCAATGGAATGGAATGGAATGGAATGGAATGGAATGGAATGGAATGGAATGGAATGAATAGAATAGAATAGAATAGAATAGAATAGAATAGAATAGAATAGAATAGAATAGAATAGAATAGCAGAGTTGGAAGGGATCCTGGAGGTTTTCTAGGCCAACATCCTGCTTAGGCAGGAAACCCTACACCATTTCAGACAAATGGTTATCTAATACCTTCTTAAAAACTTCCACTGTTAGAACATTTACAACTTCTGGAGGCAAGTTGTTCCACTGATTAACTGTCAGGAAATTTCTCCTTGGTTCTAAGTTGCTTCTCTCCTTGATTAGTTTCCACCCATTGCTTCTTGTCCTACCCTCAGGTGCTTTGTAGAATAGCTTGACTCCCTCTTCTTTGTGGCAGCCCCTGAGATATTGGAACACTGCTATCATGTCTCCTGTAGTCCTTCTTTTCATTAAACTAGACATACCCAGTTCCTGCAGCTGTTCTTCATATATATATTTAGCCTCCAGTCCCCTAATCATCTTTGTTGCTCTTCTCTGCACTCTTTCTAGAGTCTCAACATCTTTTTTACATGGTGGTGACCAAAACTGAATGCAGTATTCCAAGTGTGGCCTTACCAAGGCATTCTAAGTGGTATTAACACTTCACGTGATCTTGATTCTATCCCTCTGTTTATGCAGCCTAGAACTGTGTTGGCTTTTTTGGGAGCTGCTGCACACTGCTGGCTCATATTTAAATGATTGTCCACCAGGACTCCAAGATCCCTCTCACAGTTACTACTATTGAGCTATATACTACTAGTTCTTAGTCAATTAGGAAGAATAGGAAAATTACTAGGAATTGGATGCTCAGATTACACAAAGAGTGAGGTGGAGGGTGAAGGAAAGGAGGGGGAAAAAAGATCAGCTCCTGACCTTTTCAGCAAACCAGTTTCTTTTGCTATGATTAATTTGTAGGTATTGGTAGATATTTGAGCTCATCATGTGTGTATAAATTACTTTGCTCTTGCTGGGATTGCTTACCTGTCACGGCATTAAAAATGACACAGTGCAAGGTTTGTATGCATAAGTATCCAATGACATTTATTAATAGAATTAATCTTCCCAAATCTACTATTGTCATCCATAATCCAGCCTGGAGGACCTTTAAATATACTGATAGTCCTCCATTTACAACAGTTCACTTACTGACTGTTCGAAGTTACAACAGCACTGATGAAAGTGACTTAAGACCATTTTTCACACTTATGACCATTGCAGCATCCCCATGGTCATATGATTTACTTTCAGATGCTTAACAACTGGTTCATATTTATGACGGTCGCAGTATCCTGGGGTCATTGGATCATGTTTTGCGACCTTCTGATAAGCAAAGTCAATGGGGAAGCCAGATTCATTTAACAACCATGTGACTAATTTAACAGCTCCAGTGATTCACTTAACAAACAATGGCAAGAAAGTTGTAAAATGGGGCAAAACTCACTTAACAATTTTCTTACTTAGCAGCATAAATTCTGGGCTCAATTGTGGTCGTAAGTCAAGGAGTACTTGTATGTGATCAGAGCCTGTTTAAAGGGGCCATAGCATATGGAGCTAGAAAATTTCTTTTCAAGCAGAATAGCAGGCAAAAGCAAGCTATAGGTATCTAAGTTACATGCATAAAAATGAAGAAGGTACAACTGCTTGTCTATGTAGCTGGGTTTTGAGGTAGACAGGCCCACCCAGAGGCTAAGTAGAGTTTTCCTGCATGGTGAATGGTGCTGACAGCAGAAAGGTCTATTTCCTCTAAAGCACACTGTCCTTCCTCCTCCACCACCGTTCTGCAGGAGTCCATCTGTGATATTACTCTAAGTCTGGGTGGGAGGCTCCAAAATTGATGTTGCATTGAACCCCCAAATTCCTTAAACCAACCCTGCCTATGATTAATGAATACCATCGCAAATGAAATAATCCAAAACTCTTTTGTTGGCAGAACGGACTCGCCTGCTGAGATTAATTTAGTCTGTGAGATAGCCAAACAGTCTGGAGCTTTTGATGCAGTCCCTTGCCGGCACTGGTCAGAGGGGGGCAGAGGAGCTATCGAATTGGCTGAAGCTGTAAGGAGAGCTGCTAACCAACAGAGCAACTTCAGATATCTCTATGACCTGGAGGTAAGCAAGGTTGCAAGAGGCAAAACATGATGGATGATGCCTGTAGTCACTCAGTCATTATATCTAGCAGTACCTAGTGTGTGTGTGTGTGTGTGTGTGTGTGTGTGTGTGTGTGTGTGTGTGAATGTGCACATGCCTTTGAGTCAGGTTTATTCCTGGTGATTGCCTTGACAAATCCCTGCAATTTTTTTGGCAAGCTTTTTCAGAAATGGACTGTTCTATTTTGAGTTCGGATCACTATTTGGAAATTAAAACACTACTATAATAGTTGAAAGAGACCACTTCAACTGTAAAACAACTGTTTTGATCTCAAAATGTGGCATTTCAGATTGGTAATGGTTTGAATTAAAACATTTTGCACTCCCTTTTTCAGTAAATATCTGTCCCTTTCTGCTCTTACAGTATGTAACTCAAGTGTGTTTCTGTTTAGGATAATATTTTGGATAAGCATAAGATCTTTATCTTCCCCTTTATCCAATTGCCAAAAGTCAAATAGAAACTTTCATTTATTTTCAAATCCTTCTTTGATAGCAGCAATGTCATTTTTAATATGAGACGTAATGTAAAATATTATATAATCGTTGCTCAGAAGTTGGGGGTGGGGGAGTTGCTCTTACAAGGAACAAAATGGGAGACACCCTGATTGAGGTTGTGCTTCAAAAAAACCCTGCAAGTTCCTACCAGAGAAGTGGAGACATTTCCACCTCCTCTTTCTAATTCAGCCTCTCACATGCCTTCTCAAAAGCATAAAAGTTCTGTGCTAAAGATGCATTTAAATGGAGGATTGGCAAAAAAAAAAGAAACAACCTCTCTTTTCACGTAGTGCTAGATATCATCCTTCTTAATCCCAGCCAACAATTCTTTCTCTCGTAGAGTTCTATGTATATAAACACTTTAGCCTCCTCCACATGTTTTTAAATTTTGTTGCTGGTGTGATCTATAGTTGACACTCTTGTCAACTCCATGGAATTTTGTAACACAATCATCTTGTGCATCATTATTCTAAGATGTATTTAAAAGAGTATAGAACTCCCTTGTGTTACTTACTATTTATTTTCCATGTGATAAATTACTACTTAACAAAAGCTTATGTCACACTAATGGTTCCCGGTTCATATCGTTATCCATTCTATCATTGGGTTGCCTTCACACCTTCTGACATGGGTGAATCTAAGTATGACCATCCTTTCTGGAGAACTTTAGCATTTTTATCTTTTTGCTGTACTTAGCAAAGTCCCATGAGATTGACCACAAAGAAATGATTTAGTGTGAACCTTGACTTAGTTTAGGAGTTCTGCAAAACAGCATTCTTGAAAGAAGCTGCATATGTCTATGAGTATCTAGATAGGAAATAAGGAGGTAGGGGATATTGAGACAAGGCTATATATTCTCACTTTGTTTATTCAATTTATATTCTGAAGATGATGGAAGATGGATTGGAAGAAAATGAGTATGGTTTCAAAATTGGGGGAAGACACATCAATAATCTGTACTATGCTGATTGTGCTCCAATAGCTGAACATGCAGATGATTCAGAAATTCTAGTAACGAAAACCAAGCAGCATAGTGAAAAACATAGGCTTAAATTTAAAACCATAGAAGACCAAAGTAATTACAATAAGTACAGCCTTAGAATTGACAATGAAGATACTGAAGGAATAAATAGCAAGGAAAGCAATAGTCAAAAATATGTGACTGATAGTATTTGGAAGGGTAGTATTGAAAAAATATCTTTTCTATCCTGCTCTATGGAGTAGAGTTGGTCTCTGACAGAAAACCACTTGAAGGAACTAGAAGCATTTGAATTACAGACAGCTGTTACATATAAGATGGGTTAACAAAATCACAAATAAGGAGGTGATAAGCCACCTGGGAAAGCCAAGGGAAATCATCAAAGCCATTAAAAAGTGAAAGTTAGAATACTTTGGACATGTGACGTGACACCCAGAAAAATATGGCATCCTTCACTTAATCCTCCAGGGAAAGATTGAAGAACATCATGGCTTCAAAACCCAAGGGACTGGTTTGGACAAAACTCAGCAGCATTTTTTCATGCTGCTGTTGATAAAAAAATAGGATTGCCAACATGATCGCTAACGTCCGATGACGGATATGGCACAAGAAGAAGAAGTATTGAAAACCTTGAAAAGGATATTCAGATATGAGGATGGGTCTATACCTACAAACATCACAATTTGTGCATGCAATAGTTTTTCCTCTATGAAGAAAGCAAAAGTTGAACTTTGAAGAATCAGTTCAGAAAAAGTATTGATGCTTTTGAACCTTGGAGCAGACTCCCAAGAATAGTATGGATAGTCAAGAAAAAAAGTAGATCAACAAATCAGCCCAGGGTTCTCACTCAAGACACAAATATCCAAATCCAAACTATCCTCTTTCAGATGCATTATACAAAGTTCTAACTGTCTTAAGAAGTCCCTAATGTTTTAGAAAGATGAAAGGAAAACAAACATGAAAAGTTAATGGATTCAGTTACAGTGGAGATGGATGCTATGTTGAAAGACATAAAGGACAGATATAGATTGTCCTGGAGAAAATATACATATGTGATTGCTAACAGTCGACGTAAACTTGATGGCACTTAATCAAAATAGGAGATTACTAGAAGACATCTGTAAATCCATATTGACTTTCCAAGAAGACTTACAAGTAGGTTTAGTGAAGCCATTTTATATATTCCTTAAATCTACTGTCAGGCACTGAGCAAAGACAGAACAAAATTCAAGGTGCTGACACATTCTCACACATTCTAGTGAGAGTGAAATTCTCTAAAGATGGGCTGCAGCATAAATCCGAAAGCTCAGAAGACTAAACCTTTGGTCCTGGTGACCAACCCAGATTGGATCCTGCAACATTATCCTGGGACACGTATATTTGCCTTACTTGCAAGTTTATAATTAAGACACTTGTTAATTTCTCTCAATAATTTAGAATCAGGATTATATTTGATTTTCTTTCTAAGTTTCCAAGTTCAGTAGTCTTTGTACGAATTAATTAAGTTGGCATATAGCACTGAATTAATAATGCTTTAGTGTTAACATAATCTAAAAAAAAAAATTGCTCCTTTGGTATTTTCTGAATTTTTGCATATCTTTTCCATTGAATGTTATTAGAGCTTCAGGTAGATCTTATTGAGAATTTGAACAAATAATACCTAAATTCATTGCTTGTTTTTTATTACTGGTACAGTTATGTGAATACTTTATTAGACAATCAGGGAGGATTTGAGCCAGCCATATCCTATATAAATCTATTAATCACACCAGACCTTCCAGTTCCTGAAACCCATCATGCCCTGCTAAAACAATTCTGGAGACCACCATAAAAAGTCATTTGTAAAAAAAATTACAAAACCATTTCTAAAGCTCTGAGTTTCCATCAGTTTACCATCAGAATATAGTTTTGAAATGAAGATTTGTAAGAATAGAGCAACAAAGATGATTAGGGGACTGGATGCTAAAACATATAAAGAACAGCTGCAGAAACTGGGTATGTGTAGTTTAATGAAAAGAAGGACTAGAGGTGACATGATAGCAGTGTTCCAATATCTCAGGGGCTGCCACAAAAAAGAGGGAGTCAAGCTATTTTCCAAAGCACCTGAGAGCAGGACAAGAAGCAATGGTGGAAACTAATTAAGGAAAGAAGCAACTTAGAACTAAGGAGAAATTTTCTGACAGTTAGAACAATTAATCAGTGGAACAACTTGCCTCCAGAAGTTTTTTGGATAACCATTTGTCTGAAGTGGTGTAGGGTTTCCTGCCTAGGCAGGGGGTTGGACTAGAAGACCTCTAGGGTCCCTTCCAACTTTGTTATTCTGTTTTCTGTTTCCAAAGAGTAGTTGTGTTGTCAACAGTCTTCCCAACCCCTTCCCTTCCTCTTCTCAGTTGCTACCCATGGCCTTTTCCTGCTGTGATTCAGAACAACTTCATTTAAGACTGGATCTGGAACAAAAGAGACTTTACATGATAGCTATTATTTGTCTTTCTGAACTATTTCTTTCATGTTCTCAAGCACCAGGTGGGAAGGGGCTGGATATTGCTAGATGGAAATAAATCTTCTTTTTTTTTTTTTAACCACAGGTGGAGGTGTAGATTCATGTTACAGTTAAACTTTCATGAGCTCTTTATTCCCTATATTATGAAACCAGATCTGCCCAAGAAGGGTGCTTTGAGTGTAAGAATCTCTCTGTGATCCACATGGCTTGTAAAGTAAAAAGAAAAAGATGAAATTACAAACAGATTTATGAAAGGGTAATAGAAAAGTGACAACAAAAAGAAATGAAAGCTGCAAACTGCTGAATCAGCTGCTGTTTTAGCACCAGGCCATCTCAATCCAGAGCACCTTGAACTTTGTTCTGTTTTGGCTCAGTGCCTGACAGTAGATATAAGGAAGATATAAGATGGCTTCACTGAGCCTCTGACAGGGGGCTATTTATTATTTCTCCCAGCCTACATAGAAATGGAAATGCTAATTTCCAAGCTCAACGCTATTTTACAAATGTGCACGCATGTGTATGTCTGTGTATACTCCATTCTTGTTGCCGTGATACCACAGATTAATAAAAGAAACATAACAATCAAAAACAGTCAACTTCACTCTAATCAAAGAGTTTTAATATGAAAGCATCCAGGAAGCTGCTCACATTATACAGTGATTCAGTTACTATTCTTCATGGTTCCTTGAATTTCCCTTGTGCAGAAAATAATGATTTTTTTCAGCACTTAGAATACTGGGGTTCTATCTTTGGCCCATGTGGGGAAGGATGGAGGAAAGGAAGCATCCAGATTTAAGGCATGTAGAGATGTAATATCTAAATAACCATGAGATTATAACAGCAGAGATAGATAACCCTCAGCCTTAAGCCTGCGTATGTTTTACATCTGCTCCTTTCTGGAGAGCCGATAGAGAAATGTAGTGTCAAAACGCAAAGAATATATATAATCCCATCCATGGTGCAATAAGAAAACAAATACAAATTTAAT